TGTAATAGACCTTGCCTGTCCTACCTCACAGTGAGGTAGGTTCAGTCCTCCTTTTTTTTCTCTCACCATTCCAGAAATGTCTGTGTTAGGTGCTGTGTCCGGTGCTGGGCCTAGAGGAAGTAGATATGATGATCATCAAAAGCACTTTGATGTCATGAGGGTGGTCATGAACCCTCAATCACTGGCAATGCTCAGGCAGGGGCTGGTGCCCAGTTAGGAGGACACTAGGGATTCTGGCCCTGTGATGAGGTGGGTGAGGCTATCTCAGGACCACCTAGGTACAAGGCCTTTGCTCTGCCCACAGGCAGCCTGATCTCTCTGCACATCTATGCCCTCCATAGGAACAGCGCAGTGTGGCCTGACCCTGAGGTACCACGTCCCTGGGCCTGGAGGTCAGATGGGGTGGGAGGCTATGGAGATCACCCTTCCCAGGGCCTGGCAGATATTTAAGCAAGGCTTGTCCTCTCAGGTCTTTGACCCTCTACGCTTTTCCCCTGAGAATGTGGCCACACGCCACCCCTTCGCCTTCATGCCCTTCTCTGCTGGGCCCAGGTAAGGAGAGGCCCAACATCCCCAGGCCCCCAGGACTGGGGAGGGGAGAATGGAGGATGTTGTGGGGAAAGCATCGTTTGGGAAACTCTGTGGTAAGGGGGCTGCCACTGGGTTTTTGATGATCCTAAAGTGAGGGAAGTTCCAGGGATCTTCTTCTTGCCATTAGCATATTCATGTCCCTGGCAGGTGGTGGGCTGGCTGAGTCATTCCAAGAGAGGCCCCCAAACCGGAATTCCCAATGTGAATCTACTCAGTCTGGGACCCTCACTGTGCTCCCAAGATCTGTTTCCTAAGCCACAGCTCAATCAACCGATCAGCTAATTATTCATCCACAAACAGTTATTGGTTTTTGTTGGCCACTAAGAACCCTGGATTTGCTCACTCTGGACACCCCATAGCCTGATACCACCTTGTGCTACTCACGGTAGGAACTGCATTGGGCAGCAGTTTGCCATGAATGAGATGAAGGTGGTCACGGCCCTCTGCTTGCTCCGCTTTGAGTTCGCCCTGGACCCCTTGCGGCCCCCCATCAAGATGCCCCAGCTGATCCTGCGCTCCAAGAATGGCATCCACCTCCGCCTGAAATCGCTGCGCCCAGGCTCTGGGAAGTAGCTCTGCAGAGAATAGGGTCCCAGACACCCAGACACTGCCCTCCCAAGGCTAGATTTTAGAATAGCTGTGGCTCCCTGTCTTTGGGAGGCTTGTAGTTTAGATGGGGAGCAGGCACCCACATAAACAAGCACCTGGAGGGCAGTGCCATGCAAGCATGTATGTCTGGAAATGCTTCGTATACATGTATTCTAGAGCTCATCCATTCATTCCACAAACACGCGTTGAGCACCTACTTGCTTCTAGAATCTTCCTTTC